TATAAATATATAAACTATGTTACATGCGTTATATGCGTCTCTAATTATTTTTCCCTAGCAAATTTCAATTGAACCTAAAGCCGCCACGTCAGTTTAATTGATATGCTAATTGATTGACAACTAAACAAGGTTACTTTTTAATTAATACAAACTTGAGGTTACATCTTTTCAAATGTTTCTCAATTAATATATAGGGGATTAGAGAGATTTAATGTGCAAATCACTCTATATTGGTGTTTCGGAGATGGATTGGAGACAAAAAAATTGTGTTAAAAGTCACACTATAATAGTGTTATGGACTAGAGATACTCTTAGTACTCATATGTTGGCAACAGGTTTACGAGTCTTCCCTATTCTGATGGGGTTGTAAAGGTTAAAGGAGATATATACACTACTGAACAACAGTATCTCTCACATATATACATATGAACCAAACCATATTTTTACACAATATATATAGATACATGGACCTCTACTTAAACAAATTTGTACATTTTTGCAGAGGTCTCGAGCTTCAAACTTCAAAGTATGGGCATGCCTAGCTCATCGAAGATACCTATTCCTCCATGGTCTGTTCTCAAATGTTCATAACAACGTTCTTGGCCAATGAAGTACTTTAAGCAGACCCAGCAAATGTGCTTCCCACACCGGCACAGAAGATGGTTACACCCTTCAGATTTCTCTATCGTCGACTTGCAAACCGGACACTGCTTCACGTTCTTCCCTTTCGCCCAGTCCTTCAACGACATGTCCGGGTCCTCCTTGAACAGTTTGTACCTCTCGCAAGTGATGTACGGGTGATACTCCAGGTGGCACCTTGTGCACGTCTCTGAGTTACAAGCTCCACAGACGAATGGCTCCCCTGAATCTCGAGGACCAGCTACACGGTAGATGGAAGGGCAATCAGCTGTGGAGCAGAACCTGAACTTACCATCACTGGTTGTTACAAAAGAGGCCAGGGAGGCTCTGAAGAGTTCTTCGAGCTTCTCTTGTGATAAGAGAGCTCTCATATCAGCCACTACTATTGGAGCTCCACAGTCAATGTGAGAACAAATTATCGGAAATGCGTCAAAGTTTCTCATCGATGCTTCAAGTTGTTCCAACAAACAAGCTTTGCAGAAAAGGTGTGAACATCCTTCAAGAGAGTAGCCATCTTCAACCTCAGACAAGCAAATGGGGCATTCAACTTCAATCTCATCTGCTTTACCCCCCAGTGCACTAGCTTCTTCTCTTGAAAGTTCATAGACCATCTTTTCTACTTCCTGCTTCATTTCTACGCTCCCATGAACATGAATCACATGGTACCGAGTGTTGAGCCTAAGATCAACACCATTTATCTTTTCTTTGATACCTTGGAGCTCTGGACCAAACCGATTCACAACTTCCTTCATAAGGTCAGGACGGAAATGAGGACCTCGGAGGCGGATTTCAAGCTGCTTGCTCTCGTAATAAGCCAGAAGTGACCGGACCAGTTCTTGTTCAGCCGCAGCAATTTTCTCTTCTGATCCACAAATGCGCACTGTGAGACTGTGCCTGTCTAATACAATGCAAGTTTCTGTCTCTTGTTGGATCCTCCGCATCAGAGTAACGCCTTCTCTGGACAAAAGATGCTGCAAGACCCTTGGGGTTAAGCTTGGATGGTTCATGGGTCTTCCTCTTATGAGTTTTTCAAGAGATCTCCGCATCTCCGAGATAGGTCTTGTTGCATAAGCGAAAATTTTAACTCGATAGGCACCACTAGGAGTTGGCTCTAGATGCCATTCACCTCCTACATAAATATAAAAGAGAAATGTTTTTGAATATCAATTCAAATGTTGTGACAGAAGGTGATAAAAACTAAAAAGTAAACATCCCAAATGTGGCTATGGAAGTTAGTTACCTGTTTGTCTCTTGAAGCTTGCTAGCTTAGCATTCAATTGTCTTTTGACTATGTTGTAGATAAAAGCAGGACATATTATGGAGCTCTGAAACTTTTGCTCGCATATTATCTTCTGCCATGGATGGCATCCAGGTAGCAGAAAATCTCCATCTAACTCCTGCAAAGCTTTCGCAGCTTCCAGATGTAATCTCCCATCAAAAGTAATCAACGCTTTCACAAAATAACTTTTTTCTTTTGGTTCAGAAACTTTGACTTGAACACAGTTTGGGTCTGGATTCCTTGATGACAAGCACGCAAATATTCTCTCATGCAGCATCTTTTCACAATCAGTAAGAAGTGGACAATGCACAATCTCGTTTCTGAGTAAGAAAAATTCCAAATCTGTTCTCTGCGTAGCCAACTCCAAAACCTCTAAAACTTCTGCATCCGAAAGAGTTCTGTCAATATTAGTAATTAAGATAGAATCACTGTACTTTCGATTTGTCTTAAAGAAATAGCCTGTTCCCATCACACTTCCGGAGGAGGCCCCACCAAATATACTTCGAATATCACCAGAAGCGCACTTAAGAACACCTTTACCACAACTTTCCTTTAGAGGCCAACGAATCATAGCTTTAACAGAAGGGAAAGAAGGCATCTTGAAAATTCCTCCACTAGCTGACAGAGATGGAAATAGTTTAAGCACTGATCCATTAAGATCAAACTTCTGAATCTCTGTTGCCTTCATAGCAGATTCGGGAGTCAGAAAGGTAATCCTACCCCACTTCTCCGTCTCATTACAGTCTTGCTTGTTACCAGAGAACTTATGAATAGAGCAGATACATCCATCAATCTCCTTCTCCAGGAACGTCAGAAGCTCTCTGTCATCAAGACAACTGTCTCCGTAATAGATTACATCGACTGTCAAGAATCTCTGATCAACTTCTAGATGCTTTATCTGAGCACCAGATCCGAACAGAGCCATAGGTACTTGTCCTCGACCATGATATATATATTTCTCCAAACATTCACTACGCATCCATTTCTTTTCACATTCCAACGCATCGTTCACTAGGGTTGAGACTTTGTCCATGTCGTGGGGACGCGCAAAGAGTAGAATCTCGTTCTGATCAACATCAACTTGAATATTAATCCTTTCATCCACACAAAGAGATCTAGCACGAGAAACAATCGAAAGAAGACTACGGTTAGATTTCCCACAGAATCGTTTTAGCAGAGTGCTGCTACAACCAGCCACTTTTTTCACTCGGAGCCTCCACTCATTTATCTGAGATGCATCAAAAGGTGGAGGTGGATCAAGTATAGACAAAGCCTCAAAATCAAAGGCCGTTACACATACCAAGTACTGGTCGGTAACCGATAGAAGCTCACCGAAAACAACCCAGTTTGGCTTGTGTCCAAATGCTAGCAACGAACACGAAGGATGCAACTGAACTTGTTGCCCAGTCAATGCCACCTCATACCCGAGTTGATCATAGCCAGTGTACATCGCCACGTTTTCAGCAAGAGATGCAAGTATAACCATTTTCAGATGCTTCTCGTGTTTGTTATTACCCTCGGTTAGGTTCCAAACCCAGTAACTTGGAGTGACAAGAGAAAGCTCTCTCTCAATGCATATCTCCAGTTCCTTGACTGTGTCTTCACATCTCCTCATTGATTTGGCGTTAAGGCTATTTTCCCAGCACCATTTATTTCTTCTCTCTCGCGGCAGAGATGCCCATTCTTTATACACCGAAAGAAGAGTGAACAGGTCTCCATTATGGTTGCAGAATTTCACCTTGAAGATGACAAAGAGAAAAAAACTTCAGAACAAATCTTCTAAAAGGATCCAAACTAAAAGGAGCTTAGAGTCATACCTTTAGGCAATCAGCTTTCATCTTATCCTCGAAGTTACCAACTCTGCAAAATATACTACTAGCATTAGCCATTACAGCAGCAAGAACAATCCCCTCTTTGCCCATTCTATGTCTAAAGCAGCCCAAAATTAACTTCCCAAGCTTTGGCTCCAGACCCAGCTTGACTAAACAATGTCCTTCCTGTGTTAATTCAAGAACACCATTCTTTTCAGCGACTGCACCCAACTGAACAAGATTTTTGACAGCCATTACAATGGCTTCCGGGTCAGGGGCGTCGATAAAGTCAAAATCCGCTATGGTGTCTACACCCAGAGCAAGAATCCTCAAAACTGCTACACCAAGATGAACCCTCCGAATCTCAGGTTCCTGATTAAGACTCATAGATTCAAACTCTTGTTTTGAGTAGAGTCTGTAACATCTTCCAGCTTCTGTCCTTCCAGCACGACCAGCACGTTGTTGAGCTGAGCTTTTACTGACTTTGCAAACCTTGAGGATGCTCATACCCGTTCTAGCCTCATATTTACTCTCTTTCACCATCCCGGAATCAATTACATACTTGACACCAGGAATAGTCAGAGAGGTCTCTGCAATATTTGTAGCGAATATTACTTTTCTTCTCCCAGGATGAATCTGGAAAACCCTAAACTGTTCTTCAAAGGATAACTTTCCATGCAAAGGCAAAGCAACTGCAGATGGAGCTACAAACCTTTCGCATGCCCATTCTACCTCTGCTTGGGAAGTCAAGAACGCAAGGATGGTTCCTTCTTTCTCTGTTCTATGAACTTCCATTGCCTTCTTAACAACATCATCAGCATATGGAGCAACGCGGGCAACAACAGAAGTACCTTCTGTGTCACTACTAGGTGAATATAGAATCTCCACGGGAAAGTTCCTTCCGGTGACACAGAGAATTCCGCAGCCAAAGAAATATTCTGAAAGTTTGTAAGCATCTGCCGTGGCAGACATGATGACAAGTCTTAGATCAACTCTTTTGCATAACAGATCTTTAAGCAATGCCAGAAGCAGGTCTGAGTTCAAGCTTCTTTCATGAGCTTCATCAATAATAATGCATGAAACTCCGCTCAAACTCCGATCTTTAATGAATTGTTGAAGCAGACAGTTATCCGTCATGAACACAACTTTGGAACTAATCTTCTCGGTAGAAGGAGTACAGCGAACAGAATCTTCCTCCTCATAACAACCACTGCTTTCTTCTCTGACACGATCAGCCAATGTCAATGCAGCGATTTTCCTTGGCTGTGTACAAACGATAGATTCAGTGGAAGCAATTCCGGAATCAGCAAGGAACTGAACTAACTGAGTGCTCTTCCCTGAACCAGTTTCTCCAATCAATACCGTTACCTATCGACACAACAAAATGAAAAACTGTTACATATTCATTTATATATTACAAAAATAACTAAAAGCCTTAGCAGAGAAACTCCAACCCTAAGACAACAGCATAGATCAGCATCTATATAAATATCTCTACTCTACAAAGTCTTCATTTTTTCAGCAACTCATATTAAATAATGAAATATTGGAGATAAAAAAACCTGTTGGCCATAAATTTTCTTCAAAACATTTTGCCGGTAGGCATAGATAGGAAGCCCATCATCTAGCCTACGACACTCCCTACGGATTAAACTATGAATACGTGGCCAATCATAGTCCCCTTTTAGATCAAACACGTCCACGTGTTCTTCTTCTACTCCATCAACAACCTCAGAGCCGTTACTTTTATTAAGAAACCTCACAATACTCATCATAGCATTCTTGAATTCTTCAAGCCGCTTAACAACCAAATCTCTCTCCGCCTCTAAACTCTTCTTTTTCTCAAAAACCTCTAATCTAATCCCTCTTTTGGACGCAAAGGACTCAATGTAACGAGACTTCTCATCAATCTCCTTCCTCACCTTCTTCACGCCTTCTCCGTTTCCCAAAAGGGAAAGAATATGAGACGAGAAGAGATCACGCATCCTCTCTCTAAGCTCGTCCATGTCTGAGGGTACGATGACGTTAGGAACCAGCTCGGGGACGAAATCGTGCTTCCCTCGGAGACGACACTCCCAGAGAGAAACCACGGCGGAGAGCGCGTCGATCCATTGACGGAAACCGAAGCTTCCGGCGACGGAGCCGAGCTGGGGGACATGGACGGATTCCTCCGGGATTCGGCAGAGGGAAGCGAGGGTGTTGATCAGTTGCTTTCTGACGGAAAAGGACGGTTTGGCGTCGGTGTTGGCGGAGGGGGTTCTTGGGTGAACAAGGTGGACGATGAAATTGGGCTTAGTAGGGGTCGTTGGAGCGCGATCGCGGGGGAAATTGGAGTTAGGGTAGTGGCGGTTATGAGTAGGTCGGTGAGTGAGAGGAGGAGAAGAGCGAGAGAGAGAAAGGTTGGTGGGGGAAGCGGAGGGAAGAGACCATTGACGATTAGTGGTTGATGATCTTCTACTTCCACTGTTGGGTGGAGGAAGTGAACTCCTCATGGTGGTGGTGATGATGCCAGTGTTTCTTTAACAGTTGAGAGAAGACTTGGAAGATGGAAAAGGGAGAGAAAACAATGTTTATATATACATATATATATCGTTGACCTAAAAAAATATATATATATAAATACACAATTATCGTAAACACAATTTTTTATAGTCTAGGTGATTTTCCCGTGCTCATGCACGGGTATGAATATTCATAAAATTAATTTATAATAATTGAGTGATACTTAGTTTTAGTTTTGAATCAATTTATATGTATAACTTATATTAATAAATAGTATATTATTATAATTATACATATGACTTTGGATATATTATTGTCGGTAAAATAATAGTCGGTTTGGTTATCAATTTGGTACATTGGATAATATCTATTTATCGAATTCAACTATAATGTTTCTTATTCTAAATATAATAAAACTTTGATTAATTTTTATTTTCATTTGGGTTGGTTATTGTCTTTAGATATGTAAACATATTCTTAGATATGTAAATATATTTTAGTTAAATTATGTATAACTTAATATATATTTGTGCTTAAAATTAAATAAATAATAAGCTGAATTGTTTGATTAAAAGTTACATAAAAGAATATAATGATAATATTTTGAAGTCTCATGCATATATATAAATTCTAAAAAGAACTAAATTGTAATTATTTATTATTTTCTTTTTAATATGCTTTGAGTCAACCTCTAATTTATATGTATAAAATTAAATAGATTACTATTTTTTTATAAAATTATATGTTCTTATTGTGGTTAAATGTTTAATTTTGGATATAAATTAGATTAGTCGAGTCATTCATTTTGTGAGTATATAGAGTTAATATATTTTTAAATTAAAATTGAAGTATAAATACTTTTTATTTTAATTAAGTCAAATCAAATTAGTTTTATTTATCGCTTAAATATACATGTATTTTCATAATATTTATTTACTCTTTATTTTAGTTAAGTCAAATCAAATTAGTTTTATTTATCGCTTAAATTTGCATGTATTTTTATAATATTTATCAAATTATATGTTGATTTCTAAAAAATATTAGATAATAAAATGTAACTGATAAATTTTTGGATGTTCATGAACATATATATTTTTATTATTTTGAAAATATATTTTATGTTATTTAAAAATATATATTAATGGAGGGTATTACTATTTTGTGAACTTTCCTTTTTAATAAAGTCATACTATACACATATATTTTCGTTTTAAAAATTGTTTTAAAATTTTAGAAATATTTCCTTTTTATTATATATGTTATTTGGAAAAAGGTAAAAAAGAAACTAAATAAAAATAATAATCTTAAAATCTAACAATTCATTAAGGGTATCTATGTAATCAATCATCACGAGAGTTAACGTGATCACGACACGTAGGAAACTGACTTCTCAAATAATATTATAGAGATTTATCCAAAGTTTTGTGATTTACCTAAGATTAGACTTTAGAGTTTAACGTTAAATTTTTTTTTAAATAGTTATTTTCATTTTTTCTTAATTATATTTTTTTATTATTTTTTGTATTTTTATATTTAAAACACACAATATAACTTAATAAGATTTTGTTTCCTTTTTTAAAAGATATCAAATATAAAATGATGTAATTCTATTGGATGGTGAACCTCTGTTTTTAGATAATAAACGTAAATTTGTTTTTACTTTCTGTTTTTTTTTTCCTTTTTTAATATTTTGGATATTTCATTTAACTAATTCAGTTTAATATGTTTCTTTAACTAATAATCCAAATATTTAGATTTTATAAAATTTGTCGCAACATTATAGTTTTTATTTTATTTTAATTTAAAATAAAATAAGTATATATTGATAATAGATTTTATTTTATACATTTGTAATTATAAGAAAAAAATAAAAAAATATATTAAATAGTTAAGTCCATTTTCTCGAAAAGAAGATATCATCTCAAAATCATTATTATAAATCCAAAGCATTTAAGTATTAAAATCTAATTTAATTTAATTAAGAATTCATAATTTTTGGGACTAATCAGACCAGTGAAATTAAGAGACTTAGGGTAATTTCTTATAAAGGCTCTTGGTAAATTTACACTACAAAAGTAATATTTTGGACCTAACTTATCAAACTTCATTGTTTGGACCACAAAAAGCTCATTTTCAATTTATTAAATGTTCTGATTGTGGATATGGTAAAATTTTGAAACTTAATTTAGTCAAAAGATATTAGAGAGAAGCAATTTAGGCCTAAAGGGCTATCATAATTAACCTCTTCTCTTGAAATCTAACTTAAAGGCCCATATATTTGGGCCCTTATAATAATACTGATCTGTTTGTACTATAAAGATGGCCAATTGCCCACACGGACAAAACCCTAGTTGAACTATCGACTTGCGCCGCGAAATAAATATCTTTAATCTTCTCTCGCAGGCTGTTGTAGTGACAGTTTCTATCGGAGAAGATGAAGGTTAGCTCATCATTTCCGTCTCACATACTATCTTTTACTCAGATATCTGTATTACTTCGTATGTTCATTCTGTTTTGTTTGTATCGCAGTTCAACGTCGCGAATCCGACCACTGGTTGCCAGAAGAAGCTTGAGATCGATGACGACCAGAAGCTGTAAGACCTCTCGTTTAAATCACATTGCCTTTACTTTCTTATATACTAGGTTTTGGGATTAGTTCTTGCCTTGTTTACGGTTAGCTAATTGAGTGTACAATGCGGAACATCTATTTTTCGGACACAAACATATACTGGTTATTGTTTACAAGGATATAGAATCTGCTTATAGCTGCTGCAATAAGCTTAATTCGATGATACTGCGATTTTTTATATAAACATTAGCCAGTTCTGAATTGGACATACACAACATGACTGTTCTTAGTCGTTCTTGTTATGACTAAGATGATTTGAGATTGACTTTTCGTTGTATGTTGCAGCCGTGCTTTTTACGACAAGAGGCTCTCTCAGGAAGTTAGCGGAGATGCTTTGGGCGAGGTGAATTTTCTACTACTCGTTTACTGTTTTTATTTATTTTTGGGGTTTTTTAGAAATGGTTGATAAGATTGTCTTTTTCTTTTCTATTTTGCAGGAGTTCAAGGGGTACGTCTTCAAGATCATGGGAGGATGTGACAAACAAGGTTTCCCAATGAAACAGGGAGTTCTCACCCCTGGTCGTGTCCGCCTTCTGCTTCACCGAGGTACTTGACTTCAGATTCATCAGTTTTTCTCTTATCTTTAATTTTTTAACTTCCTTGGTATTTATGTATATCTCCTTTGTGTGAGTTAGGTACTCCTTGTTTCAGAGGACACGGAAGGAGGACTGGTGAGAGGAGAAGAAAGTCTGTTCGTGGTTGCATTGTCAGCCAAGATCTCTCTGTTCTCAACCTTGTCATTGTCAAGAAGGGTGAGAAGGATCTTCCCGGGCTTACCGATACCGAGAAGCCAAGGATGAGGGGACCTAAGAGAGCTTCTAAGATCCGTAAACTGTTTAACCTCACTAAGGATGATGATGTGAGGAAGTATGTCAACACTTACCGCCGCAAGTTCACTAACAAGAAAGGTAAGAGAGAGAATCAAAACCACTGATCTTTTCAGGTTTAAGAATAATTGACCACTTAGACTTTATTATATCTTTGGGGGTTGTAAACAGGTAAGGAAGTGAGCAAAGCCCCCAAGATCCAGAGGCTTGTGACTCCTTTGACACTTCAGAGGAAGAGAGCCAGAATCGCCGACAAGAAGAAGAGAATCGCCAAGGCTAACTCTGATGCTGCTGAGTACCAAAAACTTCTCGCCTCCAGACTCAAGGAGCAGCGTGATCGCCGTAGTGAGAGTTTGGCTAAGAAGAGGTCTAGACTCTCTTCCGCTGCCGCTAAGCCCGTTGCTGCTTAAAAACCACCTTCTAAGAGATATCTTTCTCTCTAGTTTGTTTCTCCAAAAACATGAAAACACCATTATGAACGTCTCTTTTTTGGGTTTCTGCTCTGTGTTGTTAACTTTTCATTCCCTATTACTATATAAAAGTTTTGAACTTATTTGTTATATTGCGTTTCAACTTACAAAACCGTTTCATGATAATGACTTATTCTGATCTATATGAAAATGCTCATAACCAAACTCATAACCATAGAAACGTCGAACAAAATGGCCGTTGATGTAACATTGTGAAGTGATGATACAAACATTTAAATAACTCGAAGCAAATCACAACTCAAAACTCAATTAAACACTTCTAATAATAGCCCGAACAAAAAGGCCGCCCTTGATGTAACATTTGAGAAGTGATGATACAAATTACAAAGTAAACACAGACAAATTGAATCGGTTCTCTACGAGTTACAACACATGCCACTCTTCGTTGGAATAACCTGAGCAGGACCAGGAACAATATCAATCTTCTTACCAGCAAGCGAAGCCGAATCACCACCATTACCTTCACCAGCAACAAGACTCTTCTTGTTCACAAAATTAAAAATCTCAGTCAAAACAGTAGAGAAAGCACTCTCCACGTTGACCGCGTTCAAAGCCGAAGTCTCAAGAAAAAACAGCCCTTCCGTCTCCGCAAACTCCTTAGCATCTTCCGTCGAGATCGCACGTTGATCCTCAAGATCACACTTATTCCCCACAAGTATTATCACAATATTCTTATCCGCGTGTCCTCTCAACTCCTCTAACCACCGTGGGATATGATCAAACGTCTGTCTACGTGTCACATCGTAAACAAGCATCGCCCCAACCGCTCCTCTATAGTAAGCACTCGTCACCGCTCTATACCTAATAAAACGACGTCGTTTTCAATTCAAATCTTAGAACAATAATAAAAGTTCGCTACACAGATCGAACACGAGATCTAAGGAGATTTTTTTACCGTTCTTGGCCAGCGGTGTCCCAGATCTGGGCCTTGACGCTCTTATGGTCCATCACGAGAGTTCGAGTTTGGAACTCGACGCCGATGGTGGCTTTGGAGTCTAAGCTGAACTCGTTTCTGGCGTAACGAGAGAGTATCTGAGATTTTCCGACGCCGGAGTCGCCGATTAGGACTAGCTTGAAGACGTAGTCGATCTTCTGCGACGGGTCTCCGTATCCTCCTCCGCTCGACATCTTTTTTCACCGTGTTCTTCTTCTTCTCAGCGATGGTGTGTGAAAGTGTTCTAACTATGGAGGTGAAACTTTATACGGCGTGATCTGGTGTAGTTAGTCTTGCGTAGTCTTTGACGAATACTTACGTGGCGAAGAATCATTCGTTGTTGTCGAGACTTCTTTTTCCTATGTGTCAGGCGCATGTTTTTCGGTGCGATGCAAATCAATAAGGGCCGAATCTAAATTAAAGGAATATTGAAACTCGTCGTTAGAGTTAAAAGGCTTTTTTAGTTCACACTCCTGAGGCCCATTACCATACGGCGTCGTTTATGGCGAGTATTGCTGACATGGCAAACAAAATGTCCACGTCATATTTTAGTTTTCCCTCTAGAGAGAGTGTTAACGATTTGGGGGAAGAAGACGATGGAAGAGCTAAGGCGATTGGAGAAGTTGCAGAGTGTTGTATCAGCCATCTCTTATCACGGTTTACTTTCCGAACATGAAGCTTCTTCCTCTCGATTCATTTCCGAGCTCGTACTTTTCCTGGTAACTGAGAAAGTTAGGAGTTTTCGAATTTTCCCGGAAAAAAAAAACATGAAAACTGATTTCATTCTTTTTTTTTGCAAGGTACAACCATGCGGAGACCTTGATGTTGACTCGAAACTCGTCTTGGTTTCTGATTTCATACCTAAAGTAAGTAAAAGCTTGATTTTTTTTGTTTGTTACTTGAGTTCCTAGATTATGCCTCATTCAAAGGGTTTTTTTTTTATTGTTTAGGTATCTGGACCTTTACTCGATGAGATATCGAGGTCGATTCAGCGAGACGGTGAAGCTAAACCACTAAGCACAAGTTCAGGTTCTTCTAATCCGGAATAGAATCTTACCATGTTTCAGTTTCAGTACATTTGAAAATTACCTTTGGTTCGAATATGTATTTGTTTGAGTTACTTTAAAAGTAGTTCTGTTTCGGTAATTATGTCCTGAAGAAGTGTTGATGCTCTGAAACTTCGGTTTGCTGCCTGAAAGTCTTAGTCGTTTTTAGTTATTATGTGAATTGCGGTTAATAGTTTCAATTTCTATGTAGTAGAGTCTCACAAGAGTTGTGTGAAGAGGAGTGTTGATCCTTACGCGTCACAGAATGATCAAGGTGTCGTGGCAATGGTCGGGCTTGATGCAATGAAAAGAGCAAATTCTACACTTGAGGATTTCGTAAGTCTTTAGTCATAAAAAGTGCATTCTGTCTTTGACAAATTGAACTACTCTTCTGAGTTATGCAAGGTTCTGTCTCTCTCTCTCTCTTGATTTCTGTAAATGTGTTGTCTTTGTAATAGTTCATATCATGTTGCAGTCCAGGTCTTACTTCATGTTCCATCAGTTGGAAATTGGCGAACCACAGTCAATATTCAGATATTTACCCGTACTTTCATTCACTGAGAGTTTCATATATCAGGTACTAATTGTATATTTGTTTTCAGTAAAGTTGCACTGCAACAGTAACAATGTAAACTGGTTCTTAGAAATGGAACTCTTTCTGTATCTGTAGATGGATGCTCTTAATGAGAAGATAGTCAGTGAATCCCAAATCATTGTAAGATGGCATCTCTAATATTTAGGAGTATGGGAACCACCAAATTAGTGTAGAGCCTAATGGTTTGGGATGCAGTGTTCAAGCCATGGATGGAATGCTGAATCACGGGTTTTGTTTGAAACTGATCCATTGAAGCCGCTCGGAGATGTGCTTGAACGTGAGGGCCTTTGGACGCATAGGTATTTCCTTGAGATTACTATTTTTCCATTTTGTATTATCAGCAAAGGGACACACACTATAGCAGCACTAACCGATATTAACTATGTCATGGGCTAGAATACAACAAGAGTTTAATTCGGGCAAAGAGTATTGGGCATTAGAAAGAAAGCTGTGTCATGCACTTTCAAACAAAAATAAGGTAACTGGTTCAAGTTACTGTCTTCAAACAAGTGGCTGTTTATGTCTGCTATAAATTTTCTCAGCGTTTGATCTATATCTTTATAGATCTCTGTCGAAGATGTGATGAGAGCGATTCATTTGAAGTCTTTTGATTACCGGGTGTTGAATCTTCTACTATACAAGTTGAGAGGAGTTGAGGTAAGTTAGTACATTCATCATGTGCCTTGTCATTTCTTGATGAGAAGTCATTTTCCGTCTGTAGTTGATATTTTTTCGTCTTCTTTCTTTGGAAAACTACGGAAAAGGTGAATGAGTTGCATATGGAGTTCTTGTCAGTTTCAGAGTTCCTGGTTGAAGTAGCTGATGATCTGTACGATTTTATTCTAGACCATATCATCTTCCACATAAACAAAATTTTGTTGAGTCTTTCAGGATCTTGAGTGGTGTTTGAATTGTACCTTTGCAGGTTCGATTACGAGGTTAGCTACATTCAAATAACTCCTGCATCAACATCAGGATCTCCACTGAATCAAACTCCTATATGGTTTTCTTGTAGGAAGACGTGATTGAAAACAGTTTCAATGTATTACGAATGTTTGTGGGAATGTTCGGCCCATCTAATGCGCCCACTGAGCTGGTAAAGAAACGTTAACACGACATTCCATCAAACTAGGCCTGGGCATCCGGGTCCTCGGGTCGGGTTCGGATCGGGTCTTATCGGGTCCGGGTCATTCGGGTCCTGAAAATTTGGACCCATATAGGTACCTATAACTTTTCGGGTCGGTTCCGGGTCGGGTCTTGTCGGGTCCGGGTCGGTTCGGGTCTATAATTTCAATACCCGTAAAATACCCATAATTTTCGGGTATACTTCGGATCCGGGTCGGTTCGGGTATTTAGGACCCGAAAAGGACCCGAATAACCAAAATAGACCCGAAAACCCGAAAATTACCCGAAGAACCGCCGAAATACCCGAAAATATCCAAAAATTATAAAAAATCAGACCCGAAAACCCAAAAAATACCCGAAATTTTACCCAAATACCCGAATTATATTTTCTGAAAATCTAAAATTTTACCCGCAACCTAAAATTATACCCGAAAACCCGAATCCGAAAATTTTAAAAATACCCGAAATACCAAAAATATACCCAAACACCTAAATATACCTTATATATGCAATAATTTGCGGGTACTACGGGTACCCGAACGGGTCTCGGGTAGGACCCGGACCCGACCCGAGACCCGCGGGTCCAAAGAAAAAGGACCCAATAGGTACTTCAGCATGGACCCGGACCCGGACCCGAACCTGTATTTTCGGGTCGGTTCCGGTTCGGGTCTTCGGGTCCGGGTAAAATGCCCAGGCCTACATCAAACCAACGTTTCCTGAAACATCTTTACAGCTTTCATTGTTTCTTACAGGCCAAGCGGATATCGGAAGCTGAAGAGAAGTATGAAGAGATTATGAAAACTCTTGATCCACATTTGTCTTCAAATTACAAAAGAAGATGTGAAGAAGCTACTAAAGAAGGTACCAATACTACAAATATATCATCAAAACTTCATTTCTGTTGACTTATTGACACAATTTGAAAGTTTAGGTGGGAAAGTTTCTGGTCCTTCGCTTGGTACATGGAACATACCGGCGGTTATCTCCGACGAAGATGCCTACCGAGCTGCTCATCGGTAAAAAAAAAACATGTAGCTGTTGTAAAACCGGGATTTTGTTAAGGTTGTATACCGGATTAAACCGGGAATGAGAATTGGGGAAGAGTCGAAGAATGTTTGGTCACAAATAGGCGATAATTAAACCGGTAAAAGCCATTTGCCTCTTGTAATTTGCATCCTGATGTTACAAAAATAAAATAAAAAATTGCATCATGAAATATTATAAATTTGTTTTGTGGTTCTTTTTTTTTTGACAATCACGTCGTTTTCTAAACAATTTTTAACGTATCTCATATCTCTTTTTGTGACTTCAATTTATTTGTATATTTTAAAATAAATAATTGTTTTTGAAGAGAGTACGACAAATCAGGTAACATGGAAAAAGATAGTCACAGAACGCGATACCACGGAACGTAATTTCAGAGCCTTTATTTCGTGTCTTCTTATTTTTTCGATTTTATTATTAAATGATGTAAAAGAAAATTAACAGATGTTCCCAACATCAGGTGGCTTATGTAATACTATCCCCTGTTCTTCCTGAGAAAAAAAAATCGGCTTCTTTTATTTCTCGTTTAATTTTTTTTTTTTGTTTAATTTTTTTTTTTTGATAACCCAGTATCCGACCACTAAGCGTGATCGACTAGCCCACCGGGCCTAAGCCCATGCCATGACAGGATTTTTAAGCGTCCACTTAAGGGCTCCTGGTTACGCCACACCAACTCCGCATGTAAATTATGTGATGGCTGGGGTTCGAAGTCGGATGGCGGGCACCTCAGCCGAGGTTCCTTTACCACCAGACTACGAAGCCCAGTTCTCGTTTAATTTAATACGTGAATTAACTTCTCTTGTTTGTATGTATACATTTACTTGAAAGTTCTAACCTCTCATATTATTATTCGATGCACCAATGTTCTGAACTTTATTTTCAAGAAGCCATAGAAAAGTCGATGCCACCATAAATTGTAACAGAACAGTAGTTAAGGATCATCAATGGTCCATGGACCATTCCGTATTCTATTCCTTTTTATTATTATCATGTCGATCGAAACTTTGCTTATTTGCAAAAAGTCATCATTATGGTGGTTACTTACTAGTAGTACTTTTTATTCGAAACAAATATATCGTGGGAAGAACTAATTTTCTGAAAATGAAACGTAGAGAGTACTATACATGCAAATAAAAAAAAATGGACAGTACAAAGGAGGAGAAAACGATACTGCTAAACTTGTTGGAAAACAGCAGAAAGAGACACGCATAGACCTATATATAATATGAAAACACACAGATGGCCACATTTAATAACATAAGACTGTTGAAATGTATTAAATGAGAAGCAGTCAAAAAATGATAAAATGTGGCATCCTTCCTTCTTCCTCATCTTCATTTATTGAACATTGGAAACTTTTACCTTCTTTCACCTTTGTTTGAATATCAAAACTCAGTCAAACTGTTGTTCTTACTACTATTGCTACTCAGTAATTTCCCTATTTGCTTACTATTTTCTCTGATGATAAAAGGAACCTCGATTCTCCTATTTGCTTACTATTTTGTTGTGATGATAAAGGAAACCTGTGTTTGATGTGTCAGTAAAATAGATACTTACCCGTGAAAACTTATTCACAGTCGTTTTTTTAACCGTTGAAAGGTCCACTCAATATTTGGATTTTTATTGGAAAAAATCTAGCGTTAGTAATGTGTGTGGAACCATGAAACAGTAAATGAAGTCTAGAGATGCCCTATGCATATTAATTCGACATTCAAGAGATGCTGGTTGATTATTATGGTCCTCTTCCACATTAATGTGGTGACACAACACAAACGAATGCAAATCCAGCAAATGCCCTAAACCACTTAATTTTTAATTGTGGTTCGTTCATATTGGAATGCAACTGAATGGGAAAAGCTTCTTTTAGAAGCTGAATAGGTGATGACAGAACATTAATTGGAACCACCCCACCCAATCAGTTGGAAAAATCTTGAGAGAAAACATTGACTTTTACAACTAGCAAACAAAGTTGCTTGACTTGGCTAATAACAATGCTTATCTATTGACTAAATGTTCACCACAAGGAATTTGTAATTAATCTCATCAAACACGGTTTAGCACTGATAATATAGCAAACCAAAAATGTGAAGTCATAGTCATCAATCAATAAATTAACAGTGAATGTTTGTTGTTCCAAAACTAATGAACAATAGCAAAGAGAGAAAAACAAATGTGTATAAAAGAGAGTAAGGATTGAAGTGACACATAGAAAGAAGGCTAGTTTCTGAGCCTCTCTCCTCTCTGATATGTATCCTCCTATTCTGTCTCCCCCACTCTGTCTTGTTCCTTTCACCCCTTCCTCTCACTTTTACCATTTTACCCCTTCTTCTCCTCTCTCTCTCTCACACCCCTTAAAAATTTCTCCATCTCACTCATTTCAAACATCTGGTCCAAAAGCTTCTTCTCTCTGCTTTCAAACTCTTGAAATCTCACTCTCTTTTGCCTTCCAAAGTCTTGAGAAATTTCACTAGACCCATATGAAAGTTTCTCATGTATGGTGCTGATAAGTTAAGCATGTCCACTACTTACAATTCTACCTTTCTTCTCCTCTTCTTCCTTGTTTTCATCTCTCCACTAGTCTCATCTTCTCTTCAACCTGTCCAGCCTCCTAATTCTCCTCAAGTAATCAAATCTTTTCACTCAATTTCCCAATTTAAATACTTTTCTTTGATTTATTTTAAATTAAGTAATGTTTTTATTTTAATTTCAGGTGGCTTTAGTCGAAAATAAAGCAAGACTTGGTTCTACACCACCGAGCTGCCACAACAGCTGCAACGGCTGCCATCCTTGTATGCCTGCTCAAGTCCCTACTCTCCCGAGTCGCTCCCGGTTCAGCCGAGTTGACCCGTTTTCCGGTGGATTCGTACGGCCTCCTTCCTCTCTAACCACTGTCCTAGATCAGTACTCTAACTACAAGCCCATGGGATGGAAATGCCACTGCAATGGTCATTTTTACAACCCTTGAAACTTATCATCCTCTGGTTAGATCTCTCTTTTATTTTTTAGTTTAAATTTGATTTTTGTATTAGTGAGAGTACTAGAGGTGTTCTTTGCATTCTTTGTATATGTAAACGGCTCAAGTTTGTAAATAATCAAAAAGTCTTTTTATGATAATTGCATTTGTTGCAGAGATAGAGATAGGGATGTAATGTAATGTAACTACTTACTTGCGTCATTCATTTTTCTTTCGTCACTTTTTTTTTTACTTTGATTTTTGTTCAGTTCAGTTAATATATAAAGCCTGTCTTCTTGATTCCTTAACGTTTGCATGTTCACAATTTAATTCATCAGCTTTTTCAGCTTTTAGATTATTTTTTTTTTACTGACAAAATCCTTTTGAGTTTAAAAAACTATAATTAAACCCATTACTTTACCAATTTAGAATTTAGTAATTTGCTTTTAGAAAAGCTTGAAATTAGATTTGATTTGAGTGGAACAACACACACTGTCAAAGTTGATAAATCAATTTTGTCTCACCTGCCTCGATGTCCTACACAATCACTGTTTGAGTCTCTTCTCGTGAATCTTCTGTAGACCCATATCTGAGTAAGGCTTCGTACAATTATTAAACATCACTTTAGTTTTTTTTCTTTTGCTGCTTTATAGCTTCGTTAAACTAAAGTAACCCATTAACCATAAGTTTCATAAAAAACGATGCAGCTTCATGTTCTAAAAAACGGTAGGATGATATAAATTGAAACATGAGTAGTCGCATGTTTTATTTCATTGAAACTCGAAGTTTATTGTTACTTAATAATCGGCAGCGATGGCAGAGAGAGACTCGAAGAGTTGGTGGGGTTTAGAGAGCATCACCATGTGATCTCCACCGTCGATCTCGTACACTTTTGAGACGTTGAAATTATCAATCATCCAACGAATAAAATCGCAAGGAACAGCTTTGTCTTCTTTACCCATTATGTAAACTCGTGGAACCGAGCCATACCCTTCCTCGCTAAACTTTTCTTTCTTTCCTAAATCCTCTTTGAAAAATGAGCCTTGTCTATGCAACGTTTTTGCCAGCTCGTAATCCTAAACACACAACAACCAATAACCATCTCATAACATAAAAAAAAACATGGTCTCTTTATATCTAGTGTCTACTTTCTAGTGTTCCATCCGTAAACATAAATAATTCAATTCCATTCTATTCCCAAGCACAGTTTGAATATGTACACTTAGTAGTTAATACCTGGACAGAACATTCTTGGTATAGACGGTTCTTCATGAAGTTAGGTCCCATCTTCAACAAACTCATTGTTCCATTTCTTGTTTCACGAGACGACAACTCACAGTCTTCAAAATCACCAGGCATCTCCATATACTTTTTCATCAACAAAAAAGAGAGTTAACCCTCATATACTGAAAATATATTATATATAATTTTCATGTTTAATATTCCTTCCGTTTCAGTTTATTCTTCATTGTTGAGTTAAATTTTTATTTCAAAAATTATTATTATATTATAATTCCAATATAAAACTTATTAATTTTATTATTTTATTTTTATTGATTAAAACGTGATTAAATGTATAATTAATAATATTTTTATCTACAAAATATAAAAATAAATAAATGTTTTGCAAAAATTTAAAAACGGAAGAAGTAATTACTACTATAAGGTGGTAATTATTGTGATTTGTAAACCTTGTCTAACACGTGAGAGGGCACGTGGGTTGTGTCAGGCAAGAAAGCGTTGACGAACACAAGAACCTTAGTTTTCGCCGGGAACTTATCGGCGGCGTAAGAAATGTTGAAGCCTCCTAAGCTGAACCCAACGAGAATCACCTCTTCGTTCTCTGGGAGAGATTCGAGGGCTTCGATCAACGGTTGAGAGTACTCGTAGAAAGAGTCAACGGCTTGGATTGGTCGTGGGTCGATCCCGGAGGCGGCGAGTTCAACGGCAGTGACGCGGTGGCCGGCGGATTCAAGTAGAGGTTTGAGCTTGTACCAAATCCATGCTCCGTGGAAAGCGTTGTGAACTAACACAAAGTGTTGCGTACTCTCCATAACTTAGGGTCAACGGTTCTTGTTTGTGTGGTTGGTGGGTTCTTGATTGATTATGAAAAGATCAGGTTAAGACGTGATTTATATAATTGGATAAAGTTCAGAAGCGTTGGACTTTTAATAATCTCTTATAATATACTATTATGACACAGGTAGAGTAAATTGAGATAGTATCATAAATTTAAGATTTATTTAGAGGTATGTTTGTTACATATATATGCATAGTGATGATGTTGTCATACTTAACATTAGACGTTGATTAACATCTTGTTAATAACAAAGCAAAAATAAGTAAAATAAATCATACGCATGGGCATGAACCAAACATGTCGTGATTAATACTATAGCAGATATTTCCTCATTTTCATATTAAGTGTCACTATAATCAAAATAAATAATTTTTGATTTTTAATGCAAAATTTATTAATTTTATTATGTTAATTATTCTTTTATTAGTTAAAATATGGGTTAGATAAATAAGTTTGTGTTTGTGAAATAAAAAATATATATAAGTTTGTGTTTTTATATAAAAATATGTAAAATTAACATTTTAAGTATTAATTACAGGTTACACGCAGAAAAAGCAGTAGGTGGACGGACCAGCATCGGACTTTGACTTTTCTTCAGAAACCGCTATTAGACATTGAGTGATAATTGTCGAGTTGCCAACAAAGTGTACAGAACACACAAGATCAAAAAAACAAAGCTTTTTGCTTTTTGTTTCAGCTTTTTTTTTGTTCTGTTTTGTTCTCTTTGGTTCTATTCCCCTTAGTGAATCTTTCAAGCTGTGAAATATTTTTGGGCTTTTCTTATCCGGTACCAGGTTTCCGATTCATGCTCTATCCCTTTTGCCGTTGCCTAAACCTCCTGTATTGATGGAGTTTGAGAAAATTGAGCTGGTTCGTTAGAAGGAGAAGGGCTTGCGGAGAGATGGGAAGAGTGGCAAAACGTGGAAGTCACGAGACATCATGAGAGGTTGCAGAGGAGGTTTGATTGGGGTGAAGATTCTATGAATAATCAAGACGCCATTGGATTATCAAGTGGAAGATGTCCAAACATCAAATCTTGATTTTACTGTAAAGTTGTATACATGTTTTGTTTCATGAGCTATCTTTGACTTGAATCCTTTGAAATAGAATTCCCTCTGAACGGAGTTTTATTTTACTTTTTTCGTTTACTCCCCTTGGAGTCGTGCAAAATGTCACTAGAGGTCAACGAAAATTTAACATTTTTTGGTGTACATAGGAATCCAAAACTATCATTTGAAAACGATTTCTTGACTTTTTAGTGATCATATTAGAAGAAGCGAATGTGATAATATACAGTACTATTTATGTGTTCAAACTACTTGTATGCTGTACAAAATATCTGCTAGTGACCGTTTGAAGTAGGAAAATGAGTCTAAACACTTTGCAAGGAAAAACATAATTTGATTTTGTAAGTTTGTTAGCTTGCATTTATAACGTTCAAATTAAATCTTAGCCAAAAAGAAAAATAATTGGATTTGCACTCATTTGAAAATTTTTAGATAGCAAAACCAACAAATCATATCGAGACTTTAGTTTTAGACTTTTAGTATTCACTTATTAAGTCCATACATGATATTTTCCAACAAAAAAATTTGTTTAATAATAAATTCAAAAATATGGTGGAAAAACAATAAGAACAAAATAAAAAAAGAAACATGTTTGACAAAGAAAGAGAACAATATGTGAAGTACTCTGTTGTAGGTCGTAGCAAATATGCGTTATAAATTGATCTACATCTTCACCTTCTTTTCAACGACCCTTTCCCCGGTGGCGACTGACTGGGAGATACTATGATCTTTAATACTTTGTGAATGTGAATCTTTTTTCCTGCTTCTTGTATAAAATGTTTTTCATTCAACCCACAGGCATATTAGTAAAATTGGCAATTACACATGCCACCTTATTCTTCATAGTTTTTTTTTTCTCTCAGAAATATTACACTTCAATCTTGATTTTCAGAAAAGCATATTCTAAAACATAAAGTTTTGGTAGCTTTCTTTAAAATCTTATCGTTTTTGTATTTCTTTCTTGTATCATCTTGAACTCTTCAACATTGTTATATAAAAGAAAAATATAGTGGTATTGGTATTACTCTGCTTCCTATTATATAACTTGTTTTATTGTTGTCAAATTCCTGCTATATAACTTATTTTCCTATACTCCAATACATTCATGTTGTTCTTAATCGAACATGATATCGTTTAATAAGCTTCAAAAAATAGTAAAATACATGGAGCAAGATGAGAAATATAGGGAATTACTCACTAAGTTTGTGGGATTGGTATGGTTGAGCCGATACCGTATAAGATGAAAACACCAAAGAAAGAACAAGAAGCGAAGCAATCAAACACAACTTTCCCTTCATTTCTTCTATATTTGCGTAGTTGCACGTACGTATTATTATAGTTTTTTTTGGTAGATGTATGTCCTAAAGTTTCATGAATATGTGCATTTATATCAGTTAAACATGTTGTCGCTTAAAACGAAGGTTATAAGTCTCCACAAGAGAATTGTTTGACTCTAAAACACTGACTAGCCTTGAAAAAAGTAATGAACAAATAATATATACATTCACACAGAAGTTTCAAACTTTCGACTCGTGTTTGCAGTCTTTTCCAAAATCATTCACTCGTGATATATATGTAGTAGACTCACATAACAGAACTCCTATTGAAACATGAGTCATGACATTAGATTGGAACTTTGACACAATGAATATGACTATACTGTTAAGCTAGATGGGTTTCCAACCTAAAACCAATTGGTGATAAGTGGAGTGACCCATCTATTTTATATATATTGCTAGAGATCCCTTCCAATAACCGATGTGGGACCTTAGTCCCTAATACGCCCCCTCGAGATGATGGTTCCCTGACATCAATCTCGGAATGTTCGGGCAAAGATTGATGGGCCGACTTTGGGCTGGATCGATAAGGATCGGGTTGGACTGCGTGGATCGTGGACTCTGATACCATGTTAAGCTAGATGGGCTTCCAACCTAAAACCAATTGATGATAAGTGGAGTGACCCATCTATCTTATATATTGCTAGAGATCCTTTCCAATAACCGATGTGGGATCTTAGTCCATAATATATACAACTTTTCATAAAGTTTTAAGTGGTCTTGTAGAGATCCTTTAATTTCAAGTCGATTCTTGGTTAGGACCTAAAATATAATGATGTGATCGTTTTCGAGTTCTCTCATAAACATGCCTATTGTAGATTTTATAAGTACGAAAAGATTTACAAATACGGCGTGAGAGAACTTAAACCAAATATGTAGTCAAATACAATAACAAAAACATGTTTGGCCAAGTGGCAAATAGCAATGTTACGACATTATAAATTGACCATAGTTAATGGAAAAATAGAAATTAAAATTTGATTAAATTATCTGAAATACTCTTATTAAATATTGATAGAAATTAACAAGTTGACAAAAGAAAATGGATTATCTAGATTTTGGATACGGGATAAAATCCAATATTCTGATTTTTTTTCACGGCACACGATCTTTGCCGCAAAAGACTCAATGAGTGAATTTTTCTTTAACCTAATTAATGAGAGATCCTTTTATCTGACATCACATATTTCTATTATTATTATTATAATATCTACTTGGCTTTTTTTATATTATCGTTACCCAGCTGATCACATGCTTCTACATTTCCATTATTTGTTGTTCTTCGCAAACCAAAAAAAAAATATAAAAGATATAATTTAACTTCATGAATACGAAGCAAATCAACAATAAACACTCTAAGATGTGTATTCTTTAGCTTTGATAGCTCGATATTTAATTAAACACCCTGTTCTCCACATGTAACATCGAGTTTGCTTGTTGTCTGCTTAATTATTACTTTGATAAACTAAAAGATACAAGACTGTTAACATAATCATATATACTCATACATGAGTCGAATGTTGTAAATGGGGAAAGTAGTACAAAAAATTCAAATAATTATTAAAAAACCCTAATTACAACTTTGGGTGACCTCCCTTCACAAAATTCGTCTCTCTATATAGATATATAAAATCTCGTCGATGAGTAGAAACATATGCTAAAGAGCATTGATAACAACAACACACATATAGATGAAACATGTACTATACTGAAAATTCTACAACATGAGCACACACATATGTATATCATGTGCTAACAATATATATAGATATGTGAATAAATTCTCCAACAAGCAACAGTCCCAACCGCATATTCGATTCTGAGTTCCTCCAAAACATACCTGAAAGGACCAAGAAGGCTAAGGAATGTCGGCAAATATGGAATCATCTAGTAGATGATCAGGCCATGCAGCTGAAGCTGAAGCTCCTCCTGACTCTTGACAGCTTGAAGAGGTGAGATTGCTATTCACATCTTCAATAACATATTGGCTTCTAATCATATCATCAGCCAGAGAACATGAAGGATCAAGAGAAGGTAACAAACTCTGATTTGAGATGGAGTGATCCGAGAGCCAGATCGGAGATACAAGTAGGTTTTCTCTTTGATTCAAGAACTTGAAGTTATTGTCATCAAGATTTTGGGGGAAAACAGATGATGGTCCAATGTTGGAATCTAAGGTTTTTAGGGATGTTAAGCTGTTGAAGTCCTGAAGATAGGAACCGAGGTCGAGATTATTGCTGGTGGTAGAGGCAATAGAGTTAAGGAGACTGAGATGAGTGTCAAAGTCATTAGGGTTAATATTGTTATACATGGAAGGTGGCTGAAGGAGGTATTGGAACAATTGGAGCTTGGCCATCTCGGTTTGGAGTTTCAGCATAGTTTGCTCTTGATCAACAAAACCACTAAGATTATATGAGAGAGACATAAGCTGAGATAAACCGGACAAGACATCGGTCCTTGGCCGATGAGTCATTGGGTCAACTCCCATCTGAATAAGCTTTTTCTTTAAATGGGTGTTCCAGAAATTCTTGATCTCGTTGTCTGTTCTCCCAGGTAAGTTGTTTGCAATCGTTGACCACCTTATAACATCATCATCATAAGCAAAGACTATAAAATAAAATAAAAAATAAATCAGAATATTACTTGTTTCCAACAACTGCATGAAGGTTCAAGATAGTCTGTTCCTCATCCGGTGAGAATTTCCCTCGCTTGATGTCAGGTCTCAAGTAGTTTGTCCATCTTAGCCTGCAACTCTTCCCACACCTATTAAGACCTGGAGAGAGAGAGAGATATATGCACATCATAAGAAGCTTTTAACTTAATAAAAAAAGCTTAAAGAAATTTATAAAGTAGTACCAGCAAGTCTAGGAAGAGCTCTCCAGCTACTATGGCCATGTTTTTTGACAAACTTGACAAGTTTCTCATCTTCATCAGGAGTCCAAGGACCTTTCTTGAGACCAGAGTCATCACTGGAAGGAGATCTTCCCATGTTCGTTGTACCTCCTCTCTATACTATTATTTCTCTGAGATTTGGTCGCTTGCCTCCTTCCTTCACAACCACACCAACTGCTTCTTATTTCTATTTATATTAAACCTAGCAGTCTATTCTCTTCATGTCCATTCACCACGTGTTTCTTTTCTATTCGCCTACCAAAACAACCATGTCATTTTCACCTTTCAATTCTATTTTTCTAATCATTTTCTTTTCAATAATTCTCTCACATACGCTCCTTACCAGTGTGAAAAAATCATTCAAATGTAAATTCTTCTTCTTGTCTTGAGCAACATCAGTATCATCTCAGGAATAGCCGCCTTCAATGGACAAAACACATATCACTTCTTCACTTATTTGTCTTTGATTGAGAAGCAGTTCATCAGTAGCCATCACTTATATATGCCCTAGTGCCAAATCCTGTATTTGTCAAGGAGAATAGCAAAAAACATCGTTATTGGTTGTCTTTTCACTGTCTAAAATTATAGTAAACAGGTTTTCTTCATGAATGAGGCAATCATATAGGTTATTTGAGATACCTGTTACTGAAACGTTCCAAAAAAAAACACGTTTTTGTAGGGTTTCATCATCTTATTTGTTTTATAAATGAAATCCACAAAAGATCTTCTATGAGTAGGTAATGATGGAGGAGAAGGGCAATAAAGGGAATTTGATAGGAGGAAGAAATTAACTGTTAGTTTTATTTTTTAATCATTGCAGACAAATAAAAAGAGAGAGGATTTGAAATTGAAGTCAGCGCCAGCAACATATGGCAACAAAAGGGTGGCCAGATAGACATCTCCTCTAGCACGCAAAATAGATTTCCTCGCATCATCCATTTCCATGGCTTATTAATTTATATAATTCATTTCATTATTGTATTTTCTTCATATCAATAAACCAAATAAAACTGAAGCAATGAGCCCTAAGAGCTATTGTCTCTAAAAATGCGAATGTTTCAAAGATATGAAACTAAAATAATTTTATATCACTGAAGCAAGTAAACGATGCAGAGTGAGTCTAATATGACATTGTAATTTTAGTTTGACAAATGATGAGAAATTCCTGAAAATAGCTATATTTTGGTAATACTTACCGAAATTTTCAAACCCCAATTTTCTTGGAAGAAAGGTACCAAATGAAGAAACCTGCAACAAGGAAAGCACACCAGCAAACGGTTTTGTGTCACTGTGTGGTAATGAAAACATTTCTTAACAAAGCAAAAGGTTGTTTTCACAGAAGAAGAAGTTAATGAGGACAGCAGCATAATGTTTTAGGAAATTTAGTAAGCATTTTTTTATTTTTTTTGTAAATGATTTTAGTAGATATTTGCAGGGAGAGTTCTCACATTACATGAAATTCCATAGCCAATATTAGCTGGTGCAGGAGACCAGCAATAGTACTTTCATGTAAGTAACCATATATCAAACTCTAACTCCACTAGATGAGAATCTAAATTGCTGCAAATTCAAACAGCAATGGTAATGGACAGACAAACATTGAGGACAAGGTAACGGTAACTGTAGGCAATCTTGGTATTATCAGAACAAAAAACTTACTATGGATGATAGTGACAGACTTGATGTGAACGTTTTGACGATTAGGGAGGAGCTGGTTAGGGGAGAGGTGGGTGCGGAAAATTATCTAAATCTCCATCATCTTTAAAACCTAAAAGACTTTCTCCGTCTGCCTTAATATTGCAGCCAACGGATTAAGTATGAGCATACCAATATGCATGAGGCTTGAGATATAAAAATTGCTTAGATAACGCAGCAAAACAACTATCACGAGAGCTATACTAGAAGCCAATTAATGAAATTATTAGATCAATTTCATTATAAATATGTTAACGTGTGTATAGTTTCATTTCATCGTTTGCAATCTAGATAATCCCAGGATCATGTACCATATAAGTACTGTGTTTTCGAACGGGTTAAGCCTACCAATCATCATCATACATAGTCAAGATAAACCACGAATTTCAAAAAAGGTTTTAAGAAAACGAGAAATCTTACAAAAGAGGGATTTGAATTTCTTGTTGAATTAGGGTTCCTCGCAGAGTGGACCACAGTAGAGGAGGCAGGTACAGAAAATATTTTTAAAATAAGGAAAGATTACAAACGTATTAATTATGAAATATGTGATGTCACTTAGATCGTCCTCTTCCTCCAATAAATAAATCCAGCTTGGATGTAAATGTCAGCTAAACAACTGAATTGCTTCTTCTCCTGAGTCTCTAACCAAAGCATTTAAATCTCGCACTTTCTATGCTACCAAATGAACTGATTCAACCCTTTATCTATTTTCTAACGATTACCTATACAGTTGCTGAGTACTTTTCAACCAACTCTAAAATTCCATAAAATCGATAGTGGACTAACATGCATTAATTTTTGGATATCAAAATGTTATTTTAAATCCAGAATGTTATCAAAAGGTTTTTGGTGACACAAGAAACCTTGAGAATATGACAAATGAACAGAAAGAACAAGAATGTCTACTATTAGTTTTAGAAAGTTAGTGAAATTAATACTATATGGACTAAAATGCGTGGTCTTAAGTGTTGTTTTTGTTAACTATATACCACTAAATGCCGTTATAGGTGGCTGAACTTCTTCTGTCGTGGACATGTCGTTTTACCGCTAAAGATGGAAAAATATATGGTGGCTAACAATTGAAGAAAATGCACGTGCCCATCCAAGACCAAAAGCTGTACAAATACTTTACTTTAATTTGGATGCAGCAATGGCATCTATCTTTTAATAAGATATCTATCTAGAGCAATAAATAAAGAACAGTCTAAGAAAAATCATACCTGACGGGATGGTATAACTTGGTGGTAAAAACCTTGGAGGCCAATAGTCATGCTCCCGGGTTCGACGCCACAGGGAGGTGAACTACCCATCCATGTTATAACAATGCGGTATTGGGTGTTGGCCCTTGTCCTCAGCCCAGGTTTAAAACTCTTCAGGGTGAAAGTGGACCGCTGTCTAACCGGGCCCAGAGAAATGATCCACGTAAGTGGGGAACCTCTGGATTATCAAAAAAAAAAAAAAAAAAAAAAAAAATCATACCTGATTCACTAAATGCAAAGAAGAATCACTACATAAAGTTTATATTTTATGTGTATCTCCTGCAAATCAAGTTGCTCAAGGACTAGAGGAAATCTCGATCTTACTAGGTTACAACTTAATTAAAGAGGGTGCATTTGGCAAAAAAAAAAAAAAAAAAACTTAAAAAGGGTGCATGTAACCAATAAGTTTGTCCAACCAGGTCTAGATAAAGCAAATAGGGAATGCAACAAAATCATCAGAAATTATCTACCAGATTCAGAACTGCATGGACAGGAAAAGAGGATAAGTCTGCGTTAGAAAAATATACCAAGTTCAGAATTTTTATTTTACCAGGAGTTTCTATAACGAGTTTACATCTCTTTGCCATTACTCTCCAAGAGCTCTAATGAGTCTCGGTGCCCCTTTAGGGTATTCATATAATTTGCTTTGTGCTTATATTTCTGCCATGGAAAAACAAATTCAAACAGTTTATCTTAAGCTCAATGCAAATCTTAGAAAATAATTACACTACATAAAAGCATATTGAGAAGATTGCAAGTTTAGGATTCCCTAACCTCAAATTTGTTAAGCCAATCTAATAAAGCCTAGACTAAAATCACCATATAGAGAGCTCATGAGCTCAGACGCAAGGGGCAGTAGCTATCAACAAATAAGAAATTAGTTAAACCAGGTTAATTAGACATCATAAGTTCATAACGCAAGCCAGCTATGTGTTTATAAAATAGATATATGAAAATTAAAGATATCTATATGGTAATAATAAACCAACCACTCCTCAGAAGTAAATAAGCATTATCTTATCCTCATCTATTACAAATAGGTAGAAGAAGGGTTAGCATCATAAAGAATTAGCATAAAAAAAGGATTAGCAGTGGCTGTCTCAACTCGGTTCATGGTTGAGTTTACTAAGTTAGTAGTGCCTTATCATGAGAAGCTTTTTATAGGGGGTTTCAAAGGTCTACCTTCAACTTCAGGATGTTATCTTCACAAATCTTCACTAACATCTAGATATATAACTTGAACATATAAAATACTTTTTTAATAGAAATTCTAGCTTTACTATGAAAAAGAGATAATGACGTCTGTACTACTGAAAAGCATAAACCAAACAAATCGAGTTTTTTTCAGTAAACAATCTTAAAATAAGTATAAAAGGTCCAGCTTTCACCTTGACTAATGGGGGACAAAAAGGCTCTCAGCTGAAAAAGTTAATTAACTTTACCAGTCATGTGATAAAGGTAAATAGGTATATTTATGTCATCTTTTCCTATGAATGATGCGTTTGGAATTACGATATTCCCTAGACAGTCCCTTTATTATCACCAATTAACATAGCTCGAAACCAGTGATGAAACAATACATTTTTGAAATACTTTTACCATATAGTTAATTTGTTTGTGCTTGGAGCAAGCAACCACATATGATGCACTAAAGATTGTACTGAATGTGTATACTAATGATTGGACGAAGAAAAAGGAAGACGCATCTACGAACCTCAAAGCCTAAGAGAGTCGCCATGCCACTCGCTATGTTGTTCGAGATCATCGTCCCCCTCACTAGCAAGCATCAAGCAGAAGACAATAAGAAAATCTTAAAACCCTGTAAGAATTAACATTGTTGCTTTTAAGAAGGTAGTAGTTGAAGCAAACAGGCTAAAGTGTTTGAGCTTTACATGAAAGACAAAAGACTGGGGAAAGCTTTTTGCATGAAAAGTAAAGTCACATGGCCTGACTCAAAAAGTACGAAGATATCTGCATGAATATATACGTAAGAATAGTATACAAAATACAAAAAGCATCATAAAAAGCTGTGCAGAACTCTAAACACACATGGTTGGGGTTGGTAAGTCAGGTCCTTTAAAATGAGTTCCAATAAAGAACATAAAGCTATATATCCATGAGCAAACCTCATAAGTCTCCTTTA